CGTAGGTGACTGCAAAGCTGAGTTACACAGATGAGATGAAAATCCCTTTATTTGTGCTGTCATCTTGCTCAGTCATGGGTAAATAAGTATCCAGTAAGTTGTTAAAGCACATGTTCAGAGAAAACAGGGTTGGTGGTTTATGCCATGAATATTGCCCAGCTCTCAAGGAATCAAGTAAATTCTGTAAAACAAGAACCACTTTCTGCCTACAGGATTAACTCCTCTAGCAGCTCTGAAACAATTGCCAATATGGATTCTCTCTCCCATGAGTGACAGTTTGTTGCCTCTTGATAACTAAGCCCTCAGACCTTATCTACTTGTCACTTAAATTGAAAGTTTTAAATCCAGATTGGGTTGATGAAGCCCCAGGTTTATTCACTCACCCGTTTTTTTATCTCTATCCCACAATACAGTGTGGGCAATCAGGCATTTTTCTCACATGTGCTCTCTGCTTTGCAAACACAGAGTTTGTCGGCTCACCTGGAAACCATACCTATTTATTCTGGCACTTACCTTTGGATTACTTACACTTCATGCAGAAATCAGTGCCGTTTATAAATGTTTAGAGAAGCCTGGGACCCTGCAGTTTTTTCACCTTTTAATCCCACGGGTGACTCTGCAAATGAGCACATCAAAAATAGTTCCTTTTGCGAAGAGCTATGCAACAAGCTACAAGCTTTCCTTGCTGTTAAGAAATCTTTTAAAAGTTCAAAAAGCAATGGCTTTTGAGGCTCTCTCCTGCCTGCCCAGCCTACCTGCACAAACCAGCCTGTACGCACCTCCTAGGATACCAGCTACGGACCTGAACCCTCTACCCAAAATAACGACTGAAAGCTAACGCAGGGGGTTGTGCTTTTGGCTGGGTGGATGGTTTGGGGAGGGACCCTGGAACAGAGGAATAGCGTGAGGAGAAAGGAGCAGCACAGACAACATGTGGTGAACTGACCACAGCCCACATTCCCCATCCCCCTGTGCCGCTCAGAGGGAGGAGGTAGAGAAATTGGGAGTGAAGTTGAGCCCAGGAAGAAGGGAGGGGTGGGGGAAAGTGTTTTAAGATTTCGGTTTATTTCTCATTATCCTTCTCTGATCTGATTGGTAATAAATTCAACTAATTTCCCCAAGTCAAGTCTGTTTTGCATGTGATGGTAATAGCTGAGTGATCTCCCTGTCTTTGTCTCTACCCACGAGCTTTTTTTTATATTCCTCCCCCAGTCCAGCTGACGAGGGAAGTGACAGAGTGGCTTTGGTGGGCTCCTGGACCCACCACAACCTGTGTTTCAGCTCTGAGAAGCTGGCTGCATAGAAAACAGAGAAAAAACCCAAAATCATCATTGTCTGAGATGCTGATTAGTAACAGACTGACCAAGGTGGAGACCAGAAATTCATTGCTGGTTTTGTCTTCACCTGGCCTGCTCTTTCCATAGCACAAAGGCACTAAAACAAAACAAAAATCCTAACCCAAGTGCGGTACTTATGCAGAAGTACGTTCTTTGATTTTTTTTCCACACACATCTTTTCAATATTCTCGAAAACTTGGCCAGCTGCTTATGATTATTACTGCTTTACCTTCCAGCGCTTGTAGCTGCTCAGCATTTGCTCCAGAAATGTACTGCCC